GGGTTTGAACTGCCAGCCTTCTGGTGAGCGGTCAAGTGCCTTAGGCACTATGCTACCAGAGCTCCTATATATTATATATAGATAATTATAATTATACTGTAAATATTATTTTTACCATTTAGCTGCCATTAATTTGGCTTCTGATTCATGACAACCTCGGGCACAATCCCTATGATGAATTACAGATCAGACTATTATAATACATAGGGTTTTCTTTAGCTGATTTTCAGAAGTAGATTGCCAAGCCTTTCTTCCTCATCCATCTTAGTCTGGACGCTCTGGTAAAACCTGCTCAGCATCATAGCAACATGCAAGCCTACACTGACAGAAAGATGGTAGTTGCACATAAGGTACATTGGCTGGGAATCAAACTTGGGTCTCCTGCATGGAAGTGAGAATTCTGTCACTGAACCACTGCCCCTATGTACTATGTATACTGTTCTAAAACCTGACTCATTCTCCACTAATTAACATATAGTTAATACCTTTCCATGGTCCACAGAATATTTTGTAATGGCTACAAAATAAAACTGTATCATAACTCACTATTACTGGACTTTGATTTTAAAAGGCATCCAGTTTTTCACGATTATGTATAAAGTTCACATCAACATCTTTGTAACTTAAATCTTAATTATTTTCTTAGGCTAGAAGTAGAATTGATAGTCAAAGAGTATGTACATTTTTATGTTTTTCTGAACGAGTGTGTTTATCCTCTGGCCAGTTAACAAGAGTGTTAGTTTTTCTAGACCAGTGTTTCTCAGTGTGGCTATACATCGGAATCATTCAGTGTCCTTTTAAAAGCAATATTGCCTAAATTGGCTCTCAGAGACTCTAATTTTGTGGATGAAGGATGAGACCCAGAGTCTGTAATTTTCAAAAGCTCCTCAAAATGATGTTCATTTGCAGTCGATTTGACAGGTAAAAGTGGTATTTCATGATTTTAATTATATTTTTCTTCTGAAATCATTTCAGACACTCAGATTTGGGAGAAGTGGCCCCGGAAATAAAAGCATCTGAAAGAGGAACAGCTTTGGCCATTGCAGGTAAAGCTGGAATATGGGCCTACTTGATAGCGGTCGGTTTGATTTTGTTTGCTGAAACAGGCATTTCTTCTGCCCCATTGGCATTCTGGGTACTAGCAACACTCTGGGCTGGGGATCATGGATGTCAAAAATAAATAACCTTAAAGCTTTTGTTTTTCTTTTGCAGGAAGATTCAATCTAAGGGTCTTTTAAGCATCTCTTATACAGGCAAACTAGCATTGTTTTTAAACAGATTATCTGGAACCTAATACCCTAATTTGAGCATAGGTAGCTGCTACCCTGGGTCAGATTTTGGGCAACTGTATAGTTTTATCTTTTACACAAGAGCACTTTTGAAGTGAAAGAGGTGTTATATTGCGATCCCCAATTGCCATCGAGTCAATTACAACTCATAGTGACCCTATAGGACAGAGTAGAACTGCCCCATAGGGTTTCTGATACTTTAATCTGTACAGAAGCAGACGCCACATCTTTTTCCTGTGTAACAGTGAGGGTTCTCGAACTGCCAACATTTGGGTTAACAGCCAAGTGCTTTAACCCCTGCTCCACCAGGGCTCCCTTATGACCAGGGCTCCCTTATGGTTGAATAGCAGGTATACATTGAAATTGTCCCAGGACAAACTGGGACCTGTGGTCTTTCTGGTCATGGGCCTCACTGGTTGTTTTTTGTCTCTTTGAGGATTTAAGAGGGCTGTGGCTAACATTCACAACTTCATCTTTAAAGTGTGGGGCCAGCAATCCAGACCTTGTAATTTTTCTTAGTAACTCATTTATCTTTCATTAATTCAGTGCTTCTCAAAATGATTGTGTTCTATTGGATATTAATAATGTTATGCAGGGGAGGAGGGAACCAAAATATGCAAGTGGGTATGATTCAACAAATTTTATTTTATTATTTATTCAAACAAATATTTATTAATCACCTGCCATATGCTGGCATTGTTATGGGCATTGGGAATATAGTAAATAATAGTAAAAAACAATCTTTGCCTTTGTGGAACTTACAGTGTGGAAAGTAAATACTATGGGGATTCTTGCCCAATTGGTTATACTCATAGCAAAGTCAGGGTCAAGCAGTAATTGCCCAAAGCCCTTCAGTATCTCAAGATCTAGAATTGTGCTGTCCAATAGGATGACCATTAGGCATACAATTTTAAATTAAGTAAAATTAAAATTCTAGTTCCTGAATCACACTAGCCATATGCAAAAACGGCAAGGAGGCCACATGTTCTGACCTCCTCTAATCCCACAAGAGGAAGACAGGATTACCAGCAGTAACCCAAGGCCTATTCCTACAAGGCCAGACATGCTGCCTCCCTCCAGCCCTTTCTCCAACCGTTCCTCCCAAAGC